AGCTGACAAGTTTGACAGGCTTTTGGGCGGGCTTAACGCATCAGACTCATCCATCAGATAGTCTTTCAGGCCTGTCATGCCTAAAGAGCTGGTGCACCCAGCAACTCAGCAGACGTTAAATTAATTTTGTCTACGAAACCCCAACCTCCCTCGCCTCTTCACCATCAGCAACATACCGGCTTCAAAAATAGGAACAAGCTTCCGCTATGTGGCCTGTCAGTGTGGATTCGTGCTGCAGCGATTGTACCTACACGCCGGTTTCTGACATCCCTGCCCCCTCCCGAGTCCCACCCATCGCCAGTTTGCCGTGGCAACCTAAGCTCAATATGATGGAAGAGGCTAAAAATGGCAGGCAAACGAACTTTTGTAGGGAGTGTGTGTGTGAAGCAACCTTGTCGCAGCAAAAGCGTCCAAGGGCTATGCCCAACCTTCGCAGTAAATCACATCCAGCCCGGAAAGGAGGCCGAGTCGTTGCTTCAGCTGCCCCACTTTGATCACCACCAAAAGTTAATTTCACAGCCCCTCCATCGAACTAGACCCGCCTACAAACGGGCTCGGCTTATTGTGGAGACTTACTCCAACCTGGAGCAAAATGTTATGCAATCCGCCATCAAAAAAAGTTAGACGACTGGAATGTTGGAGGTTTGTTCATGTCCCGATCTGGTTCCAGCAACGAAGCTGAAGGTCTACAAGTTTTCTTTACTCGTCAGCTTGAAGTAGTTTCAAGAGTGCACTTCTGTTTGTAAAGAGGAATCCGCCGTTGCCTTCTGGTTTTATCCACCTTCGGGTCTCTTCGACTAACACCTGCACTGGAAATGGAGAGGAACTCACTAAAACAGTCCCAAAAAATCATGACTCCCGGAGCTTAATTTAAGCCGGTTTCACAAGCATCCTGTCAAACCTGTTCTCGGTGCTCTCTCCACAGAAAGCAATAAGATCCTGCTGGAGCCTCTTCTATGGAAAATGACAGACTCATAGGCCATCCCGAGACCCACATCGTCTCAGCATCAAGTCAGGATTCTTAAGGATCACTACTTGAAGGAACTGATTCCGGAAGCGTAATGGAGATGTGACGATGTTTTAGTGAAGATCAATTGAAAATACTGTCCTGGAAAAGTCAAGATGGATGGAAAAACTTTTCATATATGCTAAAACGAAAATGGGGGAGGACATTGATTACTTGGAAGCTGTTGGGATTACTTCCATTTCGAGTAGAAGTGTTGGGTGAAGAGATTCGAAGGTCGGTTCCACCAG